CTGAATCCCAATCCCAATCCGAATCTGAATCTGAATCTGGACTCGACTCGCCCCCCTCAACTCGGGTTAGCTCTGTTTTGGCGTTGGCGTGAATTATCTGCGCAAACAGCCAGTGACAGGCGTTGAATTGCCACAGTTGCCTCTATCTGTGTGGTGTGTCCAGTGGCACTTTGTCGCATAATATGTTAATCAGCCACATGTCAGACTTGCCTGCTGCGGGTGGGTTTTTGGCCAGCGTTATGGGTGGCATTGCGGGATGGAATGTGGGGACCCCTGCCTCCGGCTTAATTAGAAGTTCAGCTTTGAAGGGGTCAGTCGGAACACGAGGTTGTTTGTCCTTCTCTACTAAGAAAGGAGGTTTTAGTGGCTAAATAGACATATTTAGACATATAAATAGATTTTCATCTTAATTTCTAAAAAGGCACACATACCATACAACGCAAACACATTTGTTACGGGACTACACTATTTAAAAATTAAAAAAAAATAAAGATTATATTATAATCATATCATCATTTATAAAATCGTTTGTTTTGTATTTATGCTTATATATTTTGATTTAAAGATCTCCATAATATATTTCTTAATTGTTGATTTGTAATTATCTGCAGCTGTAAATTAAGCTTAGCTCAATTATTAGAACATAAAAATCGACAAACTTTTACTGTATTAAAAGTTAAAATAATAATATATTTCTTTCATAAAATACTTTATTTTTGTAACAGTTGAATGAGTTTTTTTCTTTTAACTTATATATAATCTTAGTTTGACTTTCAACGGATTCATATGGGGAACCCTGTTTCGGTTGAATATGGTCAAGACGCAAAACTCATCTTTAAAACAAATTTATCAAGGGGACTTCGCAACAAATTTGCGAACAGTAAAGCTGTATTTATGATCAATCTGTCACTACCATATACAGTTATTCTTGACCCGTTCTTCCATGCTCCATTTAACACAAACGACACACACACACACACGCACACACTGTAAAAGGGACGGCAATGTTTTGGCAATAAATTGGCATTTAAATTAATTCACCTTGAATTATGTTCTTTGTGCGATAAAAGGGAAACACTCGGTCAGGCAATGGCAGCCCCCCACAGCGTAATTTTCAATCAAAATCGCACATCCGCGAAATTATCATGAACTCAGCAGAGCAGACCGAACCCATACCCATATGGCCACATGGCCACATACCCATATCCACGGATCGGGTGAGGAGATTATCAAATTGATTCCAATTAACACTTGCCACCGCTGCAAGGACTGCCAGGCAATTGGACATTGGACATTGGCCATTGGCCGCCGGCGGTTGCATTCATTTCTTCTCGACTGTGTATGCAAACGTTATAAATATTTCACTCTTTGTGCACGGTTTACGGTTAGCAGCCACAACGGCCAGAAAGGCGGCCAAAAGGGACCCCGACTTTATGGCCGGCCAACACAAGGCCCGATTCCTTTCTCCGTCCCAGCGAAACACGCACATAACTTAAGCGCACTTTGTCGTAATTCGTAATTCGAATTGACAAACGTTGCTTGGACCCGGTCGCCTTTTTCCAGTGGCCTTACCTGATGGCTAAGTTCGGCTCACTTCTTCTGGGCTGTGTGTGTGTGTGTGAAATGATAAATATTCCATAATTTCGCCTGGCATTCAATTTCGGATTGTGTGACACATAAATTACGAATTAACGCTTTAAGCCCAAACAGGCTAAGTTTAAAGGAACGGGAAGAGCCGAAGGGACAGGGGTTTCCTTTGATCAATTTCCTGACTTGGCTCACTTCCTAGAGGTTAGGCAATCGAAAATCGCTGCCCAGAGGGCACTTTGGTTAACATAAAATATTGCAACGGAAAAGCTCTTTTAATGCATTCTTTAAACAGAGATGTGAGTATGTACAAATAAAATCTTATACAAATACTTTGAAAAAGAAAACAAACTAAATTTATTTATTTATTTTTTCATATTGAAAAAATCATTCAATGCAATTCAATTTTGAATTCTTAAAAATACAAATTCAATTAATTAATTAAGTTATTAATTCCCGAAGCTCAGAATATATTTATCTTGCCAGATACTAATTAACAAATATTTTTTTGTAAGTACCTACAATTAAATTTTAATAAAATTCGGAATGAACTCTAACTTTTCAGCTTTACTCCCGTAATTTTTTTTATCTTAGTAACGCATAAAATATGAGAATTCATGGCCGGTGATAACTGACATTTTTAGCACCATCATAACAATCTTAATTAGGTACTACAAGTGTAAATCAATCCGCTGGAGCATTTTAAATTACTATAACTACCTTGTTCACCCGCTTTTTAAAGAAGTACACGCAGCGGTCTCTCTCACGTTCTAAGCTGCCAACTGACAAGCGGGCCAGCTTAATTAAGTTGAAAATTTATGAAGTTCTTTATCAACAGAAATTCATTAGCCTGAATCTAAAACAAGTACAAAGTATCGCCGAAGAAAAAATACAAAATAATTTCCTTAGAAAAGGATTTCCTCTAAAAAGGCAAAAAAAAGGAAAGGAACGGGAGGCGGGAGGTGGGAGCTCAGACTTAGACAGAAAGTTCAAAAGGAGGAAAAGACCTGCAATGAGGCATACGAAAAGCCGAAAGCCGCGATGCGCACAAAAGATGATTAATAATCTGCAAGACAGACTCTGACTCTCAAACACTCCCCACTAAACCGCAGAGGAAAATCCTTGTTTTGGGAGTGGGAAAAGACAAATGTCTTGGCTGCGTGGTCTCTTTCACAGTTAATTTAAGTTTCCAGGCGAAACGGATGCAGGACCTGGCTGGAAAAAGAATTTTGCTGATTTTGTCAACTGTTTGTCGCTGATAAAATTATTAGCTCTCCTTTTGTTTCAGCCCCCTGTCACAAAAACCGGAACCGGGGAGAGGGGCATTTCCTTTTTTTTTTTTGGTCGTGGCCAAATTTTTGTATTAAAATGCAAATTTTTTGTTAATTTTGTTGTTTTTGTTTTAATCAGCGGGAAGCCACTGTGGTTGCACTTGGGTGGTGATGAATGTTGAACCGGGGCGTATGTCAGGGACCAGGATTCCGGGGTCCCAGGCTCCGTGACTTTGCACCCCAGGGCTGAAATTGTTTTTTTTTTCTAAATGATGTTCTAATTTCTTTTTACTGGTTTATAATTTTTAATTTCCGTACAAATAGAGCTTGTAATGAGAATATTTTGTTCTGAAAAAACAAAAAAAAAATATGTATCATTAGAAAATACCAGAGATGTATAAAAATGCCTTGCATCCATAAATAAATTAAATAAATATTAAGGTCTATACGCTGCCCAGTTTGTTTTGAGTTCAGACCATTAGTTAAACTCTTAGTTAAGTGCTTGTGAGGCGAATTTTGATGTGCTCCAGTCCGCATTTTCTGCTCTCCTATCTGGCAGGCATCTAAAGGCACCGCGCTCGGTTCACAGACGCGAGCGAGAGACATAAACAATTAAACTCATTTGACGATTAATTACGTGCCGCTTCCAAATCGCGTGTGCTGCCACCACACAGCCTGCAGCCGCGGCAAAATTGTTCTATCACAACACAACACAGCACAGCTCAGCGAAAAGCCAGCGACAAGAACAACACCCACAGCTAAAGTACAAATTCATTTGCTGCTAAAGACACAAGAGGAACTTGCATGTCGTGTCATAATCTTGATGAATGCATAATTGCATGCCATGCTGCCAAGCCAGCCGCCTTCCATCCACCGAAATGATCTGCAGCACTGTGCCCTGATCGAAATGGGTTTAAATGTCAACCAGCATAAGAACGGACCCGAAAGAAGACCAATTTTCCAAATATTTTCATGTTTTCCAATTTCATTATTCGAATAGGAATTGAAATTTTTTCCGTTACACTCAAAAAATAATAATGTTACGAGAAAGACATACATAAGTATTACGTTTTCTATTTTTAAATGAGAGAGAATTAAAAAAAAAAACAAAATGTTACTTAAAATAATGTTATAAAAAACTTTATTTAAACAAGCCTATTCTTAAAATAAATATGTTGCATATAAGCTATGTAAGTTTAACACCATAAATTTTCAAATGTTATGCCTAATTGTTAATATATTATTTTTTAAATTTTCTCAAAATTACAAGAAACACTTCTTAGGTTACAACGGATTTTTGTCTGAGTACATCTATACAGCATGCAATATATGAATTATGCGGCAATTAATTAATCAGGAATTTCCAAACCAAGCCGAACTAACCCAATCCCCATACAACCACAAATGGCAGCCACCATCATCTTGACTCGACTCATTCATAGACTTTGTGCGTTTCAGGGGAGAGAGCCAGATATTGGTGACCTAAATTATTCAATTCGTTTTTATTTATTTTTAATTTTTTGATTTGTTGCAATAATTCCCCACACCACCCCGCTGCACTGAACGAACGCGAGAGCAAAGGGGTCTGCTTGTTTGTGTAACTATTTATTCTAATTTGACCCGCTTATTGAGAGGCCCGCCCTTCGGCGCCCCACTCACCCCGTTGGCCATTAATTGATGCAGCCGCTTAAATGATGAATCACTTTTTCATTAAAATTTGACTTTGAGTGTGACCCCCATGTGGCTGGCGTTGACTTTTATGTGGTTAATAGTTAGCTTTCCAATGATAGATATTCCGCAATTGTCGGTGGTGGAATTCAAACATGTGTCTCTTTGTATTACGTTTCTTTGTCTACATTTGCAAGTACAATGAACCAGAATCGGTAGCTTCTTCAAACATCAAACTCGTGCTGAATAAGCTGACCCATAAAGCCCAACATAAAACCGATAAAAAAAAAATGCATGGTGCGAGAAAGAATTGCAGAGAATCAGAAAGTTCTAGCCGATAGCACACCTGCACCTGAGAACGAAACGTGAATGTGAGCAGCAATGTAAAACGTACTTAAGCTGGGGTAAAGGCCACCAAATGACAGTTGAACTTTCAGTTCTACTCCAAAAGCAAGCATATTTTGTGTTCCCAAAATGAGTCTTTCGTTTCCAACTCTCATGTTGCTATTAATGGTGGCTGCATATGCAGCAGATCTATCTTCAAATCCGTCGACTAGAATCGAGGACTTTCCGGACATTGATTATGACTTGGACTTCGACGATGTTACAGTAACAGAGGCCTCAAATGGAACCAAAGGACTAACGGGAGCCACAATTATAACGGGAACCACTATTTCCTCAATCGTAACCGCAAATGATCTCAAAACTGGTACCACAGGTCGTCCTATATCTGCTTCTACTCCAGCTACTACTATTTCCACAACAAGAGATTCCACAGCAACTGGCTCTACAATAACTGTTTCCACCACACTTTCTACAACAGATGAATCTTCACCGTCTGATTCTACCACGGACTCTTTAACAACGGTCCCGTCTGCCCCGCCTGCCCCGCCTGCTCCGCCTGCCTTAACAACTGATTCCACAACAGATAAATCCACAACTTCCTTTTCCACCACAGATTCAACAACAGATTCCATAACTGATTCAACAACGGATTTAACAACAGATTCAACAACAGATTCCACAACAGATTCAAAAACAGATTCAACAACAGATTCAACATCAGGTTCAACAGATAGTTCTTCAGCTTCCGTTTCCACCACAGACTCAGCAACAGATTCCACCACAAATAAATCTACAACCTCTGCCTCCTCCACAGATTCAACAACAGTTCCTTCCACCACAACTGAACAGCAAACGGAAGACGAAATCATTTTGGCTCTCTTGGCAGAAAGTTTCGCTGCTCTAATTGAGTCCGATTCTTTAATTAATGCCATCGGCACATTTAACTGGAACATAAGCGCAGGCCTTGACAATCAGTCAGAGTATTTTGGCCTAATCGAAAATACAGAAGAGCTCCTGCAAAACACGACGAAAGCGCTTTTATATTGGGAGGCAGAACTTCTTCAAGATGTCGTCAATTCCATACAAAAGATAGACTTATTTGCCAACCGCACAAGCGAAACCATAACTCATTTGCTTAGATTGCAAAAGTTTAGCCACGATCGAATCAAGGACCTTGGTGGTAAACTTAAAGCAACCCAAGATGAAATCCTTCGCAGCTCTAAGGGATTGGACAAAAAGCTCAACTTTGTTGGCCAAATACTTAGGACATACATCGAGCCAAAAGTAAATGGCTTAACAGAATCGTTGGCCACTTTAAATACTTCCCAAGTCATTTCTCAAATTGAGCTGGAGAACCTGCCTATAGTTGGGAACCTTACCAAGGCTTCTATTATTAAGATGTCGTCTTTGAATAACCAAATATCTATATTCAACCAAGCTCAAGAAAGCCGTTTCTACGCACTAGACATTGAAGTTAAGTCCTTGGCTCCCACTAAACTCAACGCGATAGACGATCTCTTTCAGACTCTAAGTATTTCCCAAAAACGAACCGATTTGGCATTAACCATATGCGGATCATCGGACTTTTATCCCAATAGCTATTCTAGTCGTTTGGAGAACAATCAAATTCACTACGTCAACTACGACTCAGAAAACTCGAAAATAGATAACCCTGAAGAGATTTCAAGTGCCGAGGATGACATTTGACTTCCTCCAGTAATAGTAAACTGAAGATAGTTAAAATGGAAACCAAATTAAGACAGTAAATTATACAATGATTATAACTTTGAATTTAAGTTTAAATTAAAAATACAATATATATTGTATATTCCTAAAGTAGTTATCAAATTTAAAGAGAATTAAGGCAATGTATCAATCCAACCCTCCCACTCTTGCTCCCAAATAAAAAACCGTTTAAAGTGCAATACTGGAAAAATACATTTTCTGCTACGGTTTTCATGTTCTCGAGCACAAATTGTGCTTGGCAAATATGCGGACTATTTTGGCTGGCTATCAATTTACAGACAAGGGAACACCGTGAAGCTGCTGAGCGAAACCGATACCATGATATCCCGAGATGTCGAGGACCCCAGAACGAATCCCAGACCAAACCGAGAACTACAAATGTCTTCCAGAGACTGAGAGGATGGCGCGAAACAAAAGTCAAAACAAGCGCAACATGAATGAACCTTTTAACATACTTGTAGTTACTAATTCCAGGTGACAGGCGACACAATGAGTCGAAGTGGATTTTTCATTTGTGGCCATTGTTGGACCCTCACGGGTTTCGGGATTCGGCATTCGGGATTCGGGAGGCGGAGGTATTCTGGCAGAGGAGCAACCCATAAACAGAGGGCACAACAAAGTTGTTGCAACAACAGCGTCCATCGGCTGCAAAAGTGACCAAAATCAGAGGCTACCAAAGTAGTAACAGATGCTCTGCTCGATGCGAAGGTGTTGCCATTGGCCTCTGAGGACCCGCAATCGGGAGTCCCGCATATCGTCGTTCTCGAGAGCATCTCTCTGGGCACACGACATATACAACATATCCTTTTCCCTTTTGGCTGAACTTCTGTCTGTTTCTCCTTTTTTTGTTTTTTTGTTTTTTTTTTTGGCACAAGTCGGGCAATAAATTATCAGATACAAAATCGAGTCCAAGCCGAAGTCAAAACAAAGGCATAAACACTCGCACTCGACGGACGACTGAGATGGCAACAAAGCACGCACTCGACCAATTGACGACACAAAAGACCAAAACAAAACCAGAATCGGAATCAGAATCGGAATCAGTATCAGTATGGAGCCCAGTAACAGAATCAGAAGCAAAACAAAACAAAACAAATCGAGAGGCTGCCGCTGCCCAGAATGCAGAATGAACAGAAGAATGCCCGAAAAGCATGGGCATAAACACTGACAACATGCTGCGACACGGAATGGCTCAGAGAAGCCCCCGATCCTTGGGTATGGGGTCTACACACAACACAATAGTGCTAAGTTTACGACCATAACCAGGTAAATTAGACAGTTAAATATGGAATGCGAGAAAACATATTTATATAAACATTAAGTTGAATAGTATTGCAAAAATTTTAAGAAGATACTTTTTATATACCGAACAACCATTGTAACAAATAATAAAAAAAAAGGTAAAAAATAATAGTAAATCCATTTGTTTTAATCAACAAATTACATACTTATAAGTTGCAGATTTGTTAACATTAATTTATTTTTTAATTTTGCCAAGTTATAGAAACGTTTTCCCAAATTTACTAATACCTGTTTTATACAAACAACACCCCTTTTTAAATTTGTTAACTCATAAATATTTGAAAACAAATTTTAATAAACTTCTTAGACGTAAACATTAATTCAGTATACAAATAACGTTTATAATTTATAGATGTACACAGACCATAAAATATATTTAAAAATATGGCCTTAATTTACAGATTTTTTGTGGAATTGGTGGATAATATTTCCTTTAAGTGTATAGTCTCCCTTCGGCTCTTGGTTATCGGAAGCAGACGCACCAAATGACAACTTCGAGGGCAAAGTCAATGAGCGCCTTCCTGCTCCCTGTTATCGCCTGCTGCTGCTCCTTTCCCCGCGCTACTCCTGCTGACCAGAGGACAAAAGGATCCCGGCGTGTTGCAAATCAAAACATGGAAACAACGACAGCAAACAAAACTCTGAACATGCGTCGCAATGCAAAGAAATATTTTCACTCAGCCAGCTGAAACACGCAAACAGCTAACTTGTTGTTTAACTTAGTTTATGGAGATGCTTTAACGGGGGCGGCGAATATGGGAGAAGTGAATATTATGAATTTCCAAGAGCTAAAAGAACATTTTCTCTTGGGTAACTTAATTGTTTGTATCAAGAAAGCAGCAACTTTGAAATTTAGAAGCAAAATCCCCTTTTCGATTCCCCTTTCATGCTTCTTTTAGCCGATACGCAGCGCTCCATGATTTCCCATCGTTACCACTTAATTAAACCCAATTAATCTACAATATAAATTATTAAATTTCATAAAGCAACAAAAGTTAAATAACTTACACTCGGTCTGACGAGAGATTTCGACACCCAAAACCAAGTAACCAGAAACAGCCGGCATAACAACAAAAACAGAGCCACATCTCGGAGGCAGAAGACCGAGACGATGGAGATGATGATTATGAAGCCCAGAAGAGAGTGGCCCAGAGCTGGGGATTGGAGGATTACAGGGATTGGGGGGCTACAGGATTGGTATCAGAATCGGGCACCTCGGCAGCTTCATGCTGTGCGCGATTCATGTTTGGTGATTAAAGTAAAGTTCGTAAATTTACAGTTTTCATCAAAGGGGCGACTGTTAGTGGACTGGACTCGGCTTTTCACAGTGCTCTGCTCTGCGAGCAGCCACAGAGTTCGCCCAGAGTTCAGCCCAGGTGACTGTGACGGTGACTCTGTCGATGACTTCGAACCCCAGCTCCTACTCCTAATCCAGCCTCTTGCAGTACACTCAGGAAAACATTATAATCAAATCATATCAAATCAAATCACTTTTGAGCCATGACATTGTTTTACTGGTCCTGCTACTTTTATTTTTAAAGAAATATATCTTGAAGCTTATTTTAAAAATACAAATACAAAAAAATTATACAGAATAAAGAATACGGCTACTTAATTTGCAATTTATTTTTCTAGTTCCTTGGGTGCCACAGATATCTCTAGGGTTTCAAAATTACTTGTATTTGTTTCTGAAAATTTGCAGTGTACAAAAGGATATAAATCTAACAGACTTCTAGGCTTCTTAGCAAATGTTTCCTACTTTTGGAGCGGCACCTATCCCTTTATTCCAAAAATTTATATTTTTTTTTAAGTTTTAAAAGAAAATATATGCAAATACATCTTAAACCTTAAATAAGTGTTTTATTATTAAAAAAAAAAAGAATTTTTGGAGAGCTGTAGTATTGAATCGGTATAAATTTCTTTTAAGTGCACACACATATTCGGCGAGGCAGCCTCCTTTGGCTTTTCCTAAACTGATTTCCAGCAATAAGCATTAGTTGAAAATTGCAATTGTTTTTGTAAAGGGTAGGGAGGGGCAGTCTGGAGAGGGGCAAGGGAAGGAGGCCACACCGCGGGGGAGTGCCAGTTCCAGTCCCAGTGCCAGAGCTGAAGCCAAAGCCAAAGCCAAGTGCCTGTGCCAGCGATTGCACGATTCCCTGGCCCACAGAGGGATCCCGAGGAGGTGGTGGAAGAGGCACATCATCAACGTCCCCAGCCACGTCGTCAGTGCAGTAGAAAAGCTGCAGAAAAAAATCCAATTGTATTTAACGAATTTTTCGAAGCTGCTGTTGTTGTTGTTATTTTTAATGTTGTTGCTGGCTTCACTGGAGTCCGGAACGGAGGGCAGTGAATCATATGGACACCATTAAATGGAAAGGTACGAGCAATGGCAATCGCCAACACGCGTCAATTGTGCGCGCTGTGTGAGACCGAAGGAAAATGCTGAAAAGCTGAAAGCCGAGAACCCAGAAAATCTGCGCAGCGATATCCACCGAACTTTCGATCGAATATGTTTGCGTGTCGTGACACGAGATAATAAATATAAAGTTATTTTGTAAAAATTGTTGGAAAAACAATAATATAATTAACACTTAGATGGAAATATTGGATTTTTAAAGAGACACCATAATTTAATTAGAATTTGTATTTTTCCAAATTAACTAACAATTTTAATGTATATTTGATGTCCTTAAGTCCTAAGTCAAATATTTTTAAAGACAAATTTTTAAGCTATTTTAATGCTTATAATATGGATTAAATTATATTTTATTTTGTGGGCTTATTGCCAATACGTTTTATTGGCTAAGAAGTTTCACTGTAATATTGTTAAATAAATATTTAAATTAGTATAAAAAAATAAAAAAAAATATAATAACAATTTAACAATCCATACTACTTAAACTTATCTGTTTTATACTAAGGTCTCATCGTCTTTATATTAAGCTAAATGAGAAAACATATGTAATTTTGCAGTTAAGGACCTACTTTAAACGTATTATAAAGACGAAACGCATAGTAATAAATTAATAATAATCACGAGATCAGCACTTACTCTGATTGCAGCCAGAAATGCACTTGGGCCGGGGTCTCTGTTAGCTGGAAATGGGATTCTGGGATTGCGCAACGTGAAAATGACCCTGGCTGAATCGGGATTGGGGAGGGGAGGGGAGGGGCGGTGTCAGGGCTTATCAAAAGCTCGAACTGGCACCGCCACAACCGCAGCCACTAATAAAACCTAATAACAACATAAATGCCAATATCTTTTTAACAAATTTGCCCGACTGCTCGCAGCAGATTTCGATAAGTGAACTAAATAACCAGATTAAAGCAGATCGTAATAAATGTAATTTGAATTTGCCGCACTCGGCACTCCAGCGATGAGCTCGTTGCCTCGCCGGAGCTGGAGTTGGAGTTGGAGCAGCCACATTACTTAATTGCATGGCCGAGGATATCACCAGGCAATCGATCGTCACGGATTACCGACGTGTAATAGAGCCGGCTTAAATTATGCGTTCGAATGCATCGGCAAAGGGTGGCTTGCAACGCCACAGCGGACAGGTGTTGATTGCTGCCCCTCCGCCAGCCTCCTTTGCATGTTGTGCCGCTGGCATTGCCATTGGGTGATGGTGATATTCGAGAAGATATCCCAGTATATGATGATGATGCTGCCACGGATGATGGTCAGCTGGACGTG